GATTGTTTTTAAACTTTTACGAAAAATCTACATCCGCTCCACACTATGTGTATTTCCTGTTTGGTTCCTTACCGGCTTGTTTAGTTTGTATGAAAACCACTGGTGAAAATGGAGCAGCTTCACTACTGGGACCCTTTTTCCACCTGGATCCCCGCTCTTTTTGGCCCTCATGTCCCTCCGTTGTCCCACAAACTTGCCCCCCCTTCCTCACCGCCTCGGCCGTATCTAGACCCACAGCTAGTTCCTGATTGGCCCTCTGTCGTTGTGGCGTGGAATAACATAGCGCAGACCACGCTTCAATGTGGGGCATAAATAAAAAATACTGCTGAGTCTTCCCTAAATGGAAATGCTGCAAGCATCTGGGGAAGGTCTGTTTAGCAGGTCTGATTGGTCTTTAAAAACAAAAAGACATTCTATCAATGCCTTCTATGTGCATAAAAAGGTACCTTGTTAATTTTAGTGATATGCAAAAGGAAAAAAAAATGTTCAGTGATAATACTGATAAACCATGGCACTGCACCCCCCTCAGTGGGTGCAGAGCCTGAGATTTTAGCCCTGTTCATGTTTCTCTCTGCTCGTCTTGTCTCGTTCTGCTTAGCCTGACTTCACATCCTGGAGTTCGTAGACCAATGACTCAGTTGCTGCTCTGCCTTTTGTTTTTTTTACAGAAGAAGGTGAATTATTCCTGTGGGGAAGCAATAAACACGGTCAGCTGGCTACAGCTCAGCCCTTCCTGCCCTCCCCCGGTCTGCTGAATCCATCTCTGCTGAAGGGAGAGAGAGTTATTAATGTTTGCAGTGGCTGGACACACGTCGTTGCTCAAACAGGTACGAAGGTGGAGCTGCAAAGGTTGCGGCTGAGAATAGCTCACCATCCTGCTATGTTCTAACTATAGTCATGTGGGAATAAATAGGACACTCTTAAATATTCACTTTACATACCAAAGTCTTATCTCATTTATTGTCTCTTTGAATAAAAAAACGGCAGCTATCTGGGTAAGAACTTAAGATACCCCCCCCCCTACCTAGTGGTTAGTAAAGGTTTGCCCCTCTTCAGGGTATCGTTTATATTTAGCCCAAATAGATCTTGACTTTGACTTTTTCTGTGACTTTTCCATTTCTAATTCTCAGCCAGTCCCAGGTGGATTCATTGGGATGTTTTAAGTCACTGACATGTTGTAGGTGAGGAACCATTTCAGGCTTTCAGCTAGGAATACTTCATACACCTAACCTGACTCCGCCAGATGGATTTGCCCCGCATATCCATCTGGAAACCTTCCGCTGAAGTAATTTTGGGGAAGGGGCGAAAATACTGGTTAGCTGATTGGCCTATGTTGGTGATAGACGGGCCAAATAAACCAATCAGATATACGAAGCATATGACGTACTAACAGAGCGACGACGAAAACACAACCACAAGCCACAAGCTACTCTTGCCGAAACCAGTCGGGAGAAGAGCAAAAACATCTTTTCCTCTGAGAAAAGCCTCCAGAGCAGTG